TTGTTCAGGTTAGTGACTTCAAAAGATTTCCTAAAGGAATTATTATTCTTTTGAAAAAATAGAATATCAGATATAGAAAATAAAGATAGTAGATAGATGAAGGTGGTTTAATTCATCGATATAAATCGACAAAAATAATAGAAGAGCTCTCCAGAAGGTTCTCTAGAAGGAGAAGAGAGGGTTCTTAAAGATTTTTTAGATTCCTAAAGGAATTATTCTTCTTTTGAAAAATTAGAGCAACAAATATGGATTATAACACTCTCTTTGTAATAATGAAAAATGATTATAATAAAGATGTTGCAATTTATCGATAAAAATCGACTAAAATAATAGAAGAGCTCTCTAGAAGGTTCTCTAGAATAAAAATAGAAGGTTCTCAAAGATTCCTTAAGATTCTGAAAGGAATTATTCTTCTTTTGAAGAATTAGAGCAACAAATACTCTCTTTGTAATAATGAATGATGATTATAATAAAGATGTTGCAATTTATCGATAAAAATCGATTAAAATAAAAGTTATCCTTTTTTAAAGGTTCATAAGAATTTGGATTACAAACTTTAACGACTTTTAAAGGAATTTTTCCTTCTTAAATGACTAAATTATAAAATGGAGGTTATAAACCTGTAGAAATGCTAATTTATCGATAAAAGTAACTGAACTATTCTAGTACGTAACTAGTAAATGAAATATTCTTTATAAAAAGGGAATAAAAAGTAACACAGAGCCTTTCAGGATTTAGATATAATCATTTATCGATAAAAATCGATAACTATTCTCCAGCTAGTAGCTCGCACGCCGCTGCATGTCGTTCGACTGTCTATTTGGGATATATGGCCTGGCCTGGCCTGGCATTATGTGTGGCTGGGGCTGGGGGGGGGAGGGAGGGATAGTTAGTGGAAGTAGTGTGTATTTGCTTTTCCCGTCGACTTGTTCTTGTTGTTTCTTGAAATAGTTGCTAGATTCGTCGGGTGGTGGGGGGAGGAGGAGGTTCGTGCTTGGGGGTTCGGGCTTTGGGAGCTTCGTGTGGTTTGTTTGCTCTGCGACTGCGGCTTTGGCTCTTGTGCTCTCTTCGCTCTCTTTATGTTTTTTTTCACATTTAGTTTGTTTTATGATGATGATTTGTTGTTGTTGTTGTTGCTTTGGTTGTTGTTGTTGTTGTGCAGAAACAGAAATCTCAAGTTTCTTGACTTTCCAGCCGGGTTCCTGGCACTTTTCCGTGCCATGCTCTTGCTCTCTCACGCACCTCTCACCCCAAATAATAAGCGTTTCGTTTGTTATAAAAGTTGGTCTTCGGTCTCCTCCATACAATATTTCCTCATCAAACACCAGTACACACACATACACACACACACACACACACATAGACATAGACATAAAAACCGCGAATGCGCGACGTTTGCTTTTCAGTTTTTCAACTTTTCAGTTTTTCCCACTCTCGTATGTATGTAACATGTCTCCCCTCTGCCCTCTACCACCCCCCTGGCCCATCGTCGTAGTCGTCCCATTGTCTCCGACTGTCTTTATATGGGTTCAATTTTATTTAATTTTTATTTTAAAACCTTAAACAATGTCTGGCTCTCTGACTCGAAATGGTAATTGATAGAGGCCCTGGGCCGGGGGTATGCGACTTGGAATGGGAATGGGAAGCTATGTGTATGTAGCTCCATATGCGGGTCTTGGAAACTATTCATATAAAGTCGAGATTCCATAACTTTTCAAGCACATGCACGTCCATAAAAGATATACACACAACTTCGTCTCTTTTCGAAAGGGGGATTTGTGTATTGAAACAAGTTTCTTGATTTTTATGTTCATATCCCATAAAAAAAAATAAATAAAATCAAGAGTCAAGGGTATTTACGTTGCTTTTCAGATGACCTTTGTTTCAAAAAACTTTTACAGTCTTGGGGTTTTTGCTTTTAAAATAATAAATGTTTCAAGTAGTTCGGAGATCTTGTCTTCTTTTGTCATTATTTCGGAAAGTACCTCTTCAATCTTTCTGAAACTTTAGCACATTCTTCTAAAGCTTATTCTATTTCTATAAAGATGATGAAAGATACCGAACCCTGTATCGTAACCCTATAAACCAGATTTATAAAAAAAAAGCTCTGTATTAGTCTTTAAAAAGTACTAGTTGAAGAATAACCTTTTTTAGAGCTTTACTTCTTTTGGCATTATTTCGAAAAGTATAACCCCAATCGATCTGAAATTGTAGGGATTTATTCCATGCATGTTCTATTATATAAAAAGACAACAAGAAATACCGAACCCTGTGACCCCTTGTATCACAACAACAACAAAGACAAGTTCTGTATAATAAAAATATGTAAATTTTAAACTGCTTATCTAAAAACTGCTTTATCTCACAATCAGTATGCATTATGTTGATTTTTGTTGTTGTTGTTGTTTGAGGAGTGGAGAGGGGGCGGTTGTGGGAGGAAGTGGGTAGTACTGCTCGTTGTACAAACATGTATTGCAAATTGCTTTGGCCAGTTCCAGTTTCCAGGTAAACTCTCCTCCTCTCTCTCTCCAGCGGCGGTGCTCTCTCAATGCACTTCCCTGTGCAGCCCGTCCGCCCGCCCGCCGCCTCCCTTTCTTTCGTCATTATGCGAGAGCCAAGCTTGTTCTTCTTCTTCTGTTTCCTTGACAGAGCGAGAGGAGAGCTAAGAAGAGAGGAGATCGCGCCAGATCAGAAAACTGAATTTCAATTTGCAAACTCATGTGCCTAGGATAGGACTCGGATTCTTCAGTCTTCTCGCTCACTATATTCTTTTATTTTCTTTTTTGGGATATAATTTTTTTCCTTCTTTTTTTTTGCAACAAAAACTGGTTGGGAATTTTTGCATTCCATTGCTGAATGCTGAACTTGAATTGCATTTGGAATTTGTTCTCAGTTCTCAGTATAGTTCCACGCATTTTCCATTTCCGTTCGTTCACCTTGTTCTTTCCAGTCATAGATATGAGATGGATGGATGGATGGGGATGGCTAAGGAGCTTAATGGAATGGAAACATCGATAGTTCGATGACTGCCTCTGATTTATTGATCGATAATTGATGATTGGACTAAAGAAGAGCAAGAAGCTTAATGAGAGCTCGCTCTCTCTCGTTGGGAAGTGAAAGAGAGGGGAGGAAGATGCGTTTACCGAGCCAAGTAAACCTAATTGCTCAACTAAATTACAGAACACACAAATTCCATAATGAGCGAAAGAGAAAGAGAACGAGCTTTGAATTTATCATACTTTGTCTTCCCCCCACAGACACACATACATACCATAAAGACCTACCCCCCCACTCCTCCCCCTTTCATAGATATAAAGTTTTATTTCATTTCGTTTCGTTACGATTTTTGCTATTATTATTTGTTCGTGTCTCTCGTTGTCATTGTATCTGTATCTCCCTCTCTATGCGATATATCTATCTATCTATCTGTGTGTCTGTCTCTATGTGTGTGTGTGTGAATGTTATTTTTTAGTTTCGACTTGTTTTCTTTTGTGTAATTTTATGTGCCACTGTATGTGTGTGTGTGTATCAAGTTCATAACTTTTGTATGAACGGCAACGACAGTAAGAATTGTTGTACTATTGTTGTTGTTGTTGTTGTTTTTTTTAAATCCACACAATAAATATGTCTGTAAAATATGTACGAGTATGCTTGTGTGTGTGTGTGTGTGTGTGATTGCCATTGTCTTGTCTGTGTGAGTTGTTGTTTTCTTTATTTCTTAGTTTTTTTTTTTTTATTTTTCACATTTATTTTTTTTTTTCTAGTTTGCTTGCTCGTTGTTTTGTTAACTCTTATTTAGTTTTCTTCGAGTCTTGAGCTCGGTATCGGTATCGGTATCTCTCGGTATCATATTTTTCGTGCACACACACATTTTTCGTTACACAACCGCCGGAAAAAACTACATACTATAATTATTAAAATTAAGACACGTTCTTGGTTGGTTTCTAAAAACTATTCTTGCTGGAGATTACTTGCTTTTGAGGTTTGAAGGTTTTTTGCAAGAAAATTTTACTCAAAATGTGATATAATTTACCGAAAAGTGTATATAGATACTTAGATACTTGGTATCTTGAAGATACATCGTCTGTGAGGTGCAAATATGTGATGGATTTTGAGATATGGAAAGGTTTCTGAGAGAAAAGTGATCTCAAAAGGCTTAGAATTTCTTTAAAAACATTTTTAAGATAGTTGTAAATGCTTAGATACTTGGTATCTTGAAGATACATTGTCTGTGAGGTTCTAATATGTGAGATCTGGTGGAATTTATGGTGAGAAATGCATAAAATTTTCGAAATAACCTTTAAGAATCTCTTAAAAATGCTTAGATATTTGGTATCTGAAAGATATATTTATTTTTAAAGGTTTTTATGAGAAAATTCATCCAAAAGTGATAAGAATTGTATAAGAAACATCTTAAAATGATTAATAACTACATATGTAGATACTTGGTATCTGTAAGATATATTTAAAGTCACACTCAAATATCTAAAAGATACAAAATTGCACCAAAACTTGAAGATATAAGCCCTCAAAGAAAAACTAAAACTAAAACAATAATAATTAATTATAAGATCTATAGAATACCTTAAGACACCCCCTTAGATTCTTGGTATCTTGAAGATACATTTTCATTGAAACTCAAATATCCGAAAGATACACCGACAAAGCTGAACAATGAGCTCTCATGAGCGCTCACAAGCTTTCCAGTTGCTGTTTGGTGTTTTGTTTATTTAGTCGTCGCCCTTCTTGGGTTACCTAGCACCACCTTTTTTTATTCCAGTGTAGTGCACGTTATAACGTACACAATTCGCATTATTAATAAATAGTTTTCTTGTTCTGCTCTGCATTCACATTTCAGTTAACCAAAGCGAAGGTTCTGTTGTTTTCCAGTGCTCCACCGACTCCGGGCTCCGCGACTCTCTCTCTCTCAGTCTCGCATTGCGTCCGCGTGCCACTTGTTGCCGGCTAGCCGCTCTCTTCGGCTCTCGCTCTCTCGGTTGGAGTGCGTTGGAGTCTCTCTCTCACCTTATTGATTGATCCACCTTTCTGGCTGGAAAAGTGTGGGCGTGTGTGTTGGAAGGACAGGACAGGACAGGACAGGATACAACGAAGGAACAAACAAGGAGGAGCAAAGAGAGACGGAGACAAGGAGGGATGCAGTTGATGGCTAGCGGCTACCGTTACTCCTGCAGCAGCTCCTCCAGCTCCAGTATTTCCAGTAACTGCTCTTATCAGCTGACCGCCCCCCATCACCATGGAGAGCAGCGAGCAACAGGAGGGGGTGGGCAGCAGCAGTTGCAGCAGCAGCAGCATCAGCAGCAGCAGCAACACTCCCCAGCTATGTCGCATCTGTATTACCACCCACCACAGTAACGGTAATGCCACTACCACCTCCAGCAACAACAACAACAACAACAATAATAACAACAATAATAATAATAATAATAACGGAAGCGATGGATTGATTTCCATATTTGGCGAGGATGCGCTCTGGCAGAAGATTTCCACGCTGGCCAACGTCAAGGTGAGAGCAAAAAAAAAAAAAAATCGAAAATTAGTGTGTGAGAGTGATGTGTGTGTGTGTGGTGGAGAGAGTGCAAGTGTAAGGGGTGAAGGTGAGAGCATTTCTAACGGGCCAGCGATGAAAATAAGAGAATGGGAAGTCGCAGCAGCGCAAGAAGAAGATGAACTGAAGGTCAAGTCTTACAGGTTACAGTGGTCACTCCCCGCCCAAAACTCGACAAATTTTTAGTTTCTCAAGAGAGAGCGTGCCAGACCAGAGATTAGAATTACAAATCAGAAGCAGATCAAAGTTGATAACAAAAAAGAAAAAGAATTTCCGATAAGATTATGAACTCCAACCACAACTTGTTCCAACCTCAGAAAGAAAATGAAACTATTTTGGGAGTATAACTACTATTTTTTATTTATTATTTGTAGCTATAAATTAACACCCACTGTTGAGAAATATTTACGACTTGCCAGAGTTTATAGTACGCCATAAAAGTCATTAAAGTTTATTTATTTTTAGCCTCAAGTTTTCGCCGGCAACCACTGTATTTATTGATTTTGATGTTTATGCTTTGAATTATTTGCTTTTTCTTTCTCTTCTCTTCTCATCCATTCCATTGAATCTGAAATTAACAAAAAAAAGTTCTCTTCTTTAAAATCGATCTTAATTTGTATTCCACTATCGATCCGAAGAACCTTTCAGTCCCAGGAAGTATGCATGAAGTATACTGGCACAGTGGTTGTGGCAAGTTTCCTCGCGGGTAGCATGTTTAATCATGTTTTTTTCTCACTAATTATTAAATAAAGTGTGTGGCTGCTATTTGCACTCACTGTGTAATTTCAAGAATTCTTCGAACTCTAAAAAAATAAATAATAAATAAACACCAATACACCCGAAACATTTCTTATTTATTATTCGTATTAATTTTTCATAATCGTATGTACTCGGATACATACTCTTATGTACATTATTCATAGGTATTGTGTGTGTGTGTTGTGTTTTGGAATCAGTTTTCATTGCTTTGTCTTCCCTGTGGGGAGGGGGTGGTTGTGGGGGGTGGGGGGAACCACTACCTCTCGCCTTCTGTTTATTTGTTCGGTTTTAGCTTTTTGGCCCGAACCCGAACCGGGTTGGGGACGGACTGGGGCTTGGTTAGTTTATTTTATTCATATTGTGTGTATTATGTGGCGTGTATTGTGTATACAATTTTTCAACAAACAGCGTTTCATATTTTTCCACCGACTCTCCATGGAATTTCTTGGCTCTTTGCCGCTTTTATTTCACATATCCACATATTTATTATTTTCTTAATTCTTCGTTTCATTTCGATTCTCTACTTGCCTGTTTCTTGGCTTTTGTCAAATAATTTACCGTTCGAATTGAGCTTTGAGCTCCACATACGGGTCTATAGATAGATTTTTTATGAAATTTCTTTTTTTTTTTTTTAAAGGGAAAAAAATATTCATGTTTCTTCTTTTAGAACTTTAACAAATAGACTCGTAAAATATTATAAAAGTTGTAAATATTCTTTAATTTTCATTGAATATCAAAATTATATTAATTATCCTTTATAAACCCCGGGTTTTTTTATTTTCCCCTTTAAGAAACCCATTTTTGAAACCGCCTTTTTTCAAAAACCTTTTAACTCTTTTTTTTCCCAAATTTCTTTATTTTAAACCTTACAATCTTATACAAAATTCATATTTCAACTTAAATTCCTCAACCTAGAAATCTAAACTTAACTTAACTAAATCTTAGTCCTATTTAAACTTAGAATACTTAATTTAAATTAATAAATTATAATATACAAATTTTCAAATTATAATTTTCAAAAAACTCTCTATATAATAATAGAATCTTTTCCTATAAACTCTATACAATTTTTATAAATATAAACCCCTTTTTTTTAGATTATTTTTTAAATTAATGAAACATATTTAAATCTTAAATAACTTTAATTAATTATATTTATTTAAATTATTTTAAATCATAATTTTCCCAAGAAAGTCTCTCTCTTGCCAACTCTCTTTCTCTCAGTGGCCGCTCTTGTTCTCTTTCTTTCGCTTCCACTTCGCATTCATGTTCGGCTTAGACGTTCGTTGGCCCCACGACTCTGTTTCTAGCTGTTGTTTTTGTTGCTCTTGGCTGGGGGTTGGGGGTTGGGGGTGAGTGGGTGGGTGGGGCCAAGGGGCACCTCTGGAGGGGCTGCCCAGCACGTGAATATGAATGGGGTGGCTCTGTCTCCCGTCTCTCAGTTGCAGTGAAGTCTCTGCTGTTTTTCGCATTTTCGCATTTCTTTTTGTTTTTCTTTTTGTTTTTGTTGTTTTCCCCCCCCCAATTCATGTGCATATTTTTTCAATTTGATTCTCTCCTTTCTGGCTTTTCCTCGAAATGTGGAAATGCTGCAATTTTCTGGCTGGTTTCTGCAATTTTCCCACTTGGCTAAATTATGTTGCCAATTCAAGGAATTCCATTTCTCGTCTAAACTGACAGCCAGCCCCATTACTTATACATGCGTATTGTTTACCAACAGAGGAGGGCAGGGGGGAAGTACACCCAACCATCCATATATCCATACATCCATGTGTCCTAAAGTTTATGTCTAGGAAATGGTTTATGGAGTGGTGGGGAATACGGCAGTCCCTCGTCGGGTTCAAAGTGGAAGACTTCTCTGGAAGACTTCCCTGGAAGACTTCTCTGGAAGGCAAATAAATTATGTTCTCACATATCTACACTGCGAGAAAATGGGTGGGCCCAGGTCCATGACTAAATTCCCGACTAATATTCTCAAAAATACCCCTCTTCTGCCCCCTCCAGATCAGCAAGAACGACCACCTGCCGCAACAGGTGTGCGTGGGATGCGCCAAGCTGGCCATCTCGGCGTGCCAGTTCAAGAAGAAGTGCGAGGAGGCGGACACCTTCTACCGCCAGCAGCTGAGGCGCCAGAAGATCAAGGGAGCCGCCGGCGGAAGGGAGCCGAACGCCGCCGGAGCTGGCGGGGATCAGGCCAAGAGCAGCGGCTGCAGCAGCGGCAGTGGCAGCGGAAGCGGCAGCAGCAGCGGCAGCGGCAGCAGCTCCACCAGCAGCAGCTCCTCCTCCGACGAGGACGACGACGAGCCGGACAACGAGAACGGCCGGGAGGAGGAGGAGGTGGAGAATGGGAGTGGGAATGGGGAGGAGCACACCACAAGGCTGCAGAACGGACACGGCCAGGCCGGGATGATCAACGGACATGGCAATGGGAACAAGTCCGAGGACGAGGAGGAGGACGACGAGGAGGAGGAGGAGCAGGAGCATGGGCGGCGCAACGGGAGTCTGCAGGAGGAGGATGACGAGGAGGACGTGGAGGAGGTGACGCCCCACGGTGGCCATCCCCTGCTGCACGGCAACGAGGACGATGGCGAGATAACCGTCCACGGAGTCCACCCCAAGGAGCCCTTCGACTTCAACTCCATCCGCCTGATGCAGGAGTACATGCAGCAGCAGATGAACAAGTTCCCCAACGGCTCCGCCCAGGGGCCGCCGGTGGAGCTGGACCTCGAGGACCAGGACGACGACGACGAGGAGATGTCCCTGCCGCTGATACCCGAGATAGAGCTGATCACTCCCGGGGACGAGCCGCCTCCGGACATCACCGATCCCTCGCTGATGGTCAACGGCTCGGCTGGGGGCGTGGGCGTCGGCGGAGGAGGAGGGGTGATCCTGCCGCAGGGAATGCCGGGCCAGGTCCTCCCCGCCGGCCTGCAGGGCCTGCACCCGGGGGCCGGCTTCCAGTGCCCGCACTGCTACCAGATCTTCGAGATGAAGCAGATCCTCAAGGCGCACATGCAGAGCGTCCATGGGGCGCCGGGGCCGGTGTACGAGTGCAGCAACTGCCGGAAGACCTACTTCTACAAGCGCTTCCTGGAGAAGCACATCCGACGCGGTCGCTGCGTGAAGAAGCGCCGCAACCAGACGTGAGTACTCCCCACCCTTGTCCTATTCTTTAAGATTCTACTAAAGATTGGAATGTCCTCTTGCAGTCGTCCCATGCAGTGCTCCGACTGCCACGTCCTCTTCCCCACGGGCCACCACCTGGGCTGGCACAAGCGCACTGGCTGCCCCTCCAAGGCCGCCAAGATGTAAGTCCCGACTTTAAACTAGAAAGACCCATCTCCTAATGAATATCTTGTTGGACTCCGACAGGCCACTGCAGCAGCTCTTCAAGCAGAACATCGTGCAGTTCAACAACTTCCCGAAGAGGATCGCCGCTGGAGCCGCCAGGAAGCCCGTTGCCAACGACGTGCTCATCCAGAATCGCAAGTAGGTGTTGCAGGAGCGAGATTGTAGACCCTTCTTCATCATTTATTCCCTCAAGTAGACTCGGCCTGGCCAACAAGCGCAAGGGACGCACCCGCATCAAGCTGGACGCCAAGAAGATCGCGCTGGCCAAGCAGCTGATCCTCCGCGAGGCCACCACCACGGTGATCGCCAACGAGCTGAATATATCCCGGACCTTCGCCTGGCGTCTCCGCAAGAGCCTCGTGAATGGGGTCAGCCTACACGAGCGAGTGGTGGACCAGTCCCAGGAGGACCAGCAGCAGCAGCAGCAGCATCTGCAGCAGCTGCAGCACCAACAGCAGCTGCAACACGACCAGCCGGAGGTGCCGCCGCACCTGAGCCTGCCCTACGGCCACTTGGGCCTGGGTCTCATCAAGGAGGAGCAGCAGGACAGCGACGAGGAGGAGCAGCAGCAGCCGCAGCACCATCCCCATCTGCAGCACCACCACCTGGGCCTGGTGGACGAGTGCGGGGCGGAGGAGATCGGCGCCGAGGAGACGGCCGGCTACATGGGGGATGAGGATGCCGTGTCCGGCCTGCTGCACAACGGCTACGATCCCGATCCGGACTCGGATCCCGTCGAGAACGACCCCTTCGAGGGCACCGAGGCGGCCGAGGGTCGAACCGGCTCGGCATCGCCGCCGGCCACCTCGGTCCAGGTGCCGCCCGTGTCGGTCCAGGTCCATGCCGCCGCCGCCGCCGCCCGCAACGACGTGGAGGTCTATAAGCGCCTGCTGGCCGAGTCCCAGCACTTTCCCCACATCGTCAACGCCCAGCAGCTCCAGTTGCAGCAGCAGAGGGAGCAGCAGCGGGAGCGCGAGCGGGAACGGGAGCAGCTGCAGCTCCAGAAGCAGCAGCAGAAGGCCCATAACGGTGGAATGCCGATGCTGACCCGTTATCCTCCCACCGTCATGTAAGTTGAACAGAGAAGGCACAAGTTAGAGGGAGAGGGGAGCTGTAGAAAGTATCCTAATCCTTTGCGGTCTTCCCAATCCTTTTCAGGCACGCCCTGCCCGTCAACCTGTCCCTGCGCTCCATGCCCCACATGAACAGCAACGAGAGGTGAGTGTTTTGGGGTTCCACCTCCGGGAGATCTTATCGAACCTCTTCCTCCATAGCAATGGTAGCTCGAGCAGCAATGCGGCAGCTGGTGCGGCAGCTCCGGCCACGGCCACGCCCACTGGGAAGAAGCCGCGCAAGCCGAACGTCTTCATCGACGACGAGAAGTACGCGATGGCTAAGCTGCTGGTGGCCCAGAACTCGTCCACCATGGAGATAGCAAGAGCCCTGAACGTCTCCCAGATGACGGCCTGGAAGGTGCGGGACGCCATACTCAAGGGAGTGCCTCTGTCGTATCGCAACAAGCGGTCCGAGGGTCGTCATTCCGAGGATCTGACAGCCAAGGAGCAACAGCAACAGCAACAGCAGCAACATCAGCAGCAGCAACAGCAACAGCAACAGAAGCAACATCATCGCCAGCAACAACAATATCAGCAGGAGCTGCAGCAGCAACAGGAGCTGCAACAGCAACAGCAGGAGCTGCAGCAGCGTCAGCAGCAAATGGAGCTATTGAAGCAGCAGCGTCAGCAGCAGGAGATGCTACTGCAGCAGCAACATACATCACACTATCAGCAACAGCAACAACAGCAACAGCAGCAGCAACAGCAGCAGGGTCCACAGAAGATGTTGCATCCCCGCCGCCGACTTAAGGCCGCCGAACGGGAGCTGCGCGACAAGGAGATTACCCGGGAAATACTCGAGCTGATCAAGGAGGACAGCAACATCCAGTACTGGAAGGTGTCGGCCCGGCTGGCCGAGAAGGGCATCAACATCTCGCCCTCGTCCGTCTGCCAGAAGCTCAAGTCGATGGGCATCCACCGGCGCTGGAAGCCGGGCGACAAGCCGCCCATGCTGGCCATCAGCCAGCTGAAGGCGGCCACCGTGGCAGCGGCAGCGGCGGCAGCCGGCTTGGCTGGACCAGCTGCCGGGGGAGCCGGCACTGCCGGCGCTGGAGGCGGCGTACCAGCTGGAGGAGTGCCAGGAGGCGGGTTTGGTTTGCCGGACGATGGCTTCGACCAGCAGCAGTTCGATATGAGCGGCCAGCACTTCCTCAGTGCCTTCACCCGCTAGGAGACCCATCCGCTGGGTCATCCGGAGCATATATCCCGGACCAGGTACGGCGAGGAGAGGAGGATCCTAGGGCGGAAAGTAACCTTTTGAAGCGAATTCCTTTCGAGAACTTCCCTCCCGAAATATTCCGTTTTTATAATTTTTTAAGGTTAGGTATCTAAGTAGTTGAACAGGCTCGGACATGTCTGGACATGTCGGGACATGCTCGAACGAAAAATTAGTCCAAATTGTTAGACTTTTTGTTTATTTTTTTTTTTAGAAAGAAAACCACATCACATTCACATCGAAAATGCAGTTTTGAACTTTAATTTAAAGTTTAAACTTTAAAAATAAATTAGAATTATTATTAAATATTATGAGAATTATATAATTTTTGATGAAATTGTCGAAAGTGATTATTTTCCGCTGCCTAGGAGAACAGGTTATTTCTTTTACTATTATTATTATTATTATTATTTTGATTATTACACTGCAAGAAACAAAAATAGCCTGTATTTTATGTTTTTTTTTTTGTGAAAAGTATTTGAGAGACAGCGGAGATTGTGGATTGAAATGTATTTGTATTTGTAATGAGATATATATAATATGAGATATATATAGGCTATCATATATATATGCTAAGCATTCCTAGAATGTCACACACACACACACACACATGCAAACACACATGCATACACACAGGCATACACTTTCATTCCAAGAGAGTCCTTCGGGCAGCTTCCGTTTCCTTCCCTCCTTCTTCCCATCACAACATCCGCCCAAAAATTAAAGAGAGAGGAAGCACACACACACACACACACTGCGCTAATTTTAATTACTTTAATTACACATATACATATTTATTGTCCATATATGTGTGTGTGTGTGTGTGCGAAGACCTATTGCTTTTGTTCTCTGTGTATTTATTTATTTTACTCACGCATACCCGTACTGAGAACTATAATTTAGTTTAATTACAAAATAACAAAAGAGAACAAAAGAGAAAGCCAGAAGAGAGACAAGAAGAACAAACCAGAGAAAGGCAGAGAAAAGCGAGAAGAAAGTTAGCGACATAAGTGCAATTATCAAGCAAACAAACAAACAAAACAAAGTAAAAGCAGAAACAAAATAAGAAAATAAAACACACAAGAATGAACGGGAGAGAAGAGCGAAGAAAATGCCTTAGCCGGGGGGGACTTGAGGAATTCTTCTCAAGCTCTCGGCTGTTTTTCTTCAGAGTCTTCAGAGTTCGAAAAAAGCAGAAAACTCCATCCTACCAACCACGCCCCCGCCCCCACAAAATATTATAGCCAAATGTTAGTAAAAAATTTAAAAAATTAAAAAAAACAAAAACAAGCCAGAACAAAGTTTGAAACAAAAAAAGCAAAAGAAAGACAAGTTTTAGAAGAGGACTCATAACTGTATTTATTTACAGGCAACTTTTAGCTGTAAACAATATTGAAAGTATATATATTTCAACAAAATTATATATATTTTGATCTTTATTATGATTTTTATTTTTGTTGTTGCAGATTAAGAAATGAAAGGCATTCAAGTCTGCAAAGTAGCTTTTAGAAGCAAACTAGAAGGAGATAGTATTTTTTTTTGGATTATTATAAAATTATTATTATTAAAAATTATTATTATTAAAATGATTATTATTAAAATTATTATAATTAATACTTTATATTATTTTGTACAATTTTAAATTGTAACTGCTTTTTGTACCAGCCAGCAACAAAAAAAACAAGAAAATAGCATTCAAGCAACCAATTCATGAATGATTCCCTCCTCCACACACACACACACACACTTAACACACACACATACACATACACACCACTAAGCGCAAGCGGGCTAACGAACTGTGCATAGTATTTTCTATATAAATTATATAATTAAATCTAAATATATATTCATTACCATAAAGAAACAACAAATAATATCCATAAACTATATGAAACAAAACATTGAAATTTTAAACAAAAAAAACACACACACACACACATACATATAAAGATAATTCATATTTTTTTTGTTTTTTTTTTTTTTAAATCACTTGTCTCTTATTTATTAGCCTCTGCAGCTTATATACAAGTTAATAGACATTACATAATAGAGTATATATACATGAAACAAGACGAAACATATTTTTTTTTGTATGAAATGCAAAGGAAATGTTTGTGGAAATATATTATTTAAAGTTTATATATATATTAAAAACTAAAAACTAAAAACAAAAATATAAAGAATGTAACTTTAAGGATCCATTGCAAGCAGCATCAACAAATAGAACTGACGTGCCTATGTAGCGATTAAATCTGACACACACACACACACCCAGAACACACACTCACACACACACACATAAGTGCATACAATCACATAATCAAACACTTAGAGAAAAACTGATGTAACGCATAAAATAATCATTCCAAAATGTCATAAGAAAACGGAAAAATAAACAAGCAACAAAAAGAAAAGTAACAAAAACAAACAAAAACAAAAAAACGCTAAAAAAAATGAAAACAAAATCAGAACATTATATATGTATACATAAATGTAGCAGAATATATATATATATGAAACATGCTCTATATATATGTATATTTTTTATTAAATATTCCATTTGAAAAAAAATAATGTCTAAAGTGTGTTTTTTATGGGGGTTTATTTATTATCTTAATCTGTTTATTATAAATTGGTTAAGAAATTTAATTTAAATAATTTAGTGATATAAAGCTCTAAAACTCATCCAATATCTCGATTCTTCCAAAAAAAAATGCTGTTTTTGGTAAGTTTCTTGAAAATGAACCATTTTTTTGCTAAAAACGTAAAAAACAGGTCTTGTTACATTATTTGATTGGTATTAAATATTTAATTTCCTTAAAAGTATTAAGCTTTTGAATAAATAACGAAAACAGCTTTGATGTATGCTATAAAAAATGAAATCCCCAAAAGTAGGCAACATTTTTTCAATAACTTAATTTTGCTCCCAGTGCGTATACGTAATATTTGACAAAAAAACTGAATAATATTTTGTCTCAGGATTTTGATGCAAAACGGTGCAGAATCGATATAGAAATCGTTTAAGGTACTCCGCTTGAGAATCGGATGAGAATTGAGGAAGATATAGCCATCGCCGTGGGCCCTATAGGGGAAAACCCCATTTTGAAGGGATCCCATGGCAAAATTGGATAAAAAATCTGAAAAATATTTTGTCTCAGGATTTTGATGCAGAATGATGGAGAATCGATCCACAAATCGTTTAAGGTACTCCGCTTGAGAATCGGATACGAATTGGCCAAGATATAGCCATCGCCGTGGGCCCTATAGGGGAAAACCCCATTTTGAAGGGATCCCATGGCAAAATTGGATAAAAAATCTGAAAAATATTTTGTCTCAGGATTTTGATGCAGAATGGTTGAGAATCGATCCACAAATCGTTTAAGGTACTCCGCTTGAGAATCGGATACGAATTGGCCAAGATGTAGCCATCGCTGTGGGCCCTATAGGGGAAAACCCCATTTTCAAGGGATCCCATGGCAAAATTGGATAAAAATCTGAAAAATATTTTGTCTAAGGATTTTGATGCAGAATGATGGAGAATCGATCCCCAAATCGTTTAAGGTACTCCGCTTGAGAATCGGATACGAATTGGCCAAGATATAGCCATCGCTGTGGGCCCTATAGGGGAAAACCCCATTTTCAAGGGATCCCATGGCAAAATTGGATAAAAAATCTGAAAAATATTTTGTCTAAGGATTTTGATGCAGAATGATGGAGAATCGATCCCCAAATCGTTTAAAGTACTCCGCTTGAGAATCGGATACGAATTGGCCAAGATATAGCCATCGCTGTGGGCCCTATAGGGGAAAACCCCATTTTCAAGGGATCCCATGGCAAAATTGGATAAAAAATCTGAAAAATATTTTGTCTAAGGATTTTGATGCAGAATGATGGAGAATCGATCCCCAAATCGTTTAAAGTACTCCGCTTGAGAATCGGATACGAATTGGCCAAGATATAGCCATCGCTGTGGGCCCTATAGGGAAAACCCCATTTTCAAGGGATCCCATGGCAAAATTGGATAAAAAATCTGAAAAATATTTTGTCTAAGGATTTTGATGCAGAATGATGGAGAATCGATCCCCAAATCGTTTAAAGTACTCCGCTTGAGAATCGGATACGAATTGGCCAAGATATAGCCATCGCTGTGGGCCCTATAGGGGAAAACCCCATTTTCAAGGGATCCCATGGCAAAATTGGATAAAAAATCTGAAAAATATTTTGTCTAAGGATTTTGATGCAGAATGATGGAGAATCGATCCCCAAATCGTTTAAAGTACTCCGCTTGAGAATCGGATACGAATTGGCCAAGATATAGCCATCGCTGTGGGCCCTATAGGGGAAAACCCCATTTTCAAGGGATCCCATGGCAAAATTGGATAAAAAATCTGAAAAATATTTTGTCTCAGGATTTTGATGCAGAATGGTTGAGAATCGATCCAAAAATCGTTTAAGGTACTCCGCTTGAGAATCGGATACGAATTGGCCAAGATGTAGCCATCGCTGTGGGCCCTATAGGGGAAAACCCCATTTTCAAGGGATCCCATGGCAAAATTGGATAAAAAATCTGAAAAATATTTTGTCTAAGGATTTTGATGCAGAATGATGGAGAATCGATCCCCAAATCGTTTAAAGTACTCCGCTTGAGAATCGGATACGAATTGGCCAAGATATAGCCATCGCTGTGGGCCCTATAGGGGAAACCCCATTTTCAAGGGATCCCATGGCAAAATTGGATAAAAAATCTGAAAAATATTTTGTCTCAGGATTTTGATGCAGAATGGTTGAGAATCGGTCCAAAAATCGTTTAAAGTACTCCGCTTGAGAATCGGATCAGGGTTGGGGAAGATATAGCCTATTATGACAATGAAAACTATTTTAAAACCTTTCTATTTATACATTTATATTCCTTTCATTTTTTTAATGCTTGATAAACGTTGTTCTCAGGCATTTATTGTTATTTTTTAATATATAGTATTCCCAGCATGACGCAAACCCAATTTTTATTTATAATTATATAGCTTATAATGTTTTTTATTTGATTTTGATATATTGTTGTTGTTGGTATATTGATATATTGTTGCACGTGTTGTTGGTATTAAAAATAAACATTTTTTTAATGCCAATAGATTTTTTTGCCCTCTGGATCCCCGACTTTTTCGAAATCCCCGGGTAGTTTTACTTTGTCGGCGAATTTCTTTAGAGTGCTCCTGGCAGTACTACACATCCACCTTTGTTTAGTCAAGCCTATTTAGATAGAAATAAATAATACCCGGTTCGGCCACGAAGCTGCGAATCTGGGCAATGTATTTATTTAATTAACGTCAATTCTGGTCCACTGGTCCTCGTCAATATTTTATTTTCGCCTCACGACCCTATCCCGCCATGTTCCGCTGATCAAATAAACATTGGGCAAGTCGCGTGTGACTATATAATATATGTACCTGTATTTGCTGATCACATATGCCTAACGCATCTGGAGTGGTATCGGTAATATACTATATATGTTTATATTGGCAATAAAATTGAATGGGGTTCTTAAGGAAAAAATATAAAAGTTGTGAAAATAAAACTTACCTTTTAGTATCTTAACTTGTTCTCCAGATATCTTTCTGTGATTTATCGATTAACACTGTGATAATCGAAAAAGTCGATAAGTCAACTATATCTCTTGTTTTTATTCATCGATTTTATCGAAAAACAATCGAAAATGTGACTTTTCTCCCCCAAGTTCCCCAATAATAATACCTTTGACTTTTGGTTTGTTCTTTTTTATTAGGGATTTGTTGTTGTATGTATATATAGCGTAACTTTTAATAACGTAACTAAGTTTTACAAATATTCTTTCACTTCCTGTGCTTTGGTCCTACATGACGACTACGAAAAAAAACAAAAAAAAAATTGGTATAGATATGCGTGTATATGTTATAGAAAATGGTACTTGATATATGTATGTTTTTTTCTCATTTATTTTAGTTTTAGTTTTTTTGTTTGTTTTATAGTAATAATAATAATGTTTAATACGTAATGTAAGACACATACGCATATATCATATGCATTAATAATAGCAATAATAACAACAATAACAGGCAGCAGAAGGCGGGCTGGTGGTGGGTAGGTAGCTAACTGCTTCGATTATACGTTCTGTGTTTATCGATTATTATCGATTTTGGTATCGTTATCCGCTGCCACCAGCCACGCTTGTGCTGCTGCTGCTTCAGCCGGCGCCGGCGCTTGCCAAAATATATAGTATTATATACTCACTACCACAACTACACAAAATACACATCGTACATACAATACATATACATCGATCGCTACCGATCCTACCTTCTATATCTTCTCGCTGGCTTGGGTTTTCGTTTTCTCATCCTTGCGTATGCTTTTTTTTTGTGTTTTCTATTTGTTTTGTGTTTTTTGTTTCGCAGCACTGAGCGAAAAAATACTGTCTCAAATCTGGAATTAAATTCTGGGCTTGGAGGGGTGGTGGTCTATGTAGGGCTTTGGTTTGGATCTTCAGTTTTGGACTATTGGTTAGTTTTTTTTCTAGTGTACTGATATGTTTTTCTTGTTGGCTTTTCCAGACTTAACTACCTGATTTTAGATGAATATTTTATGTTTTTTTTTTTAAGTTTTCGACTCATGGCTGTGGGTGAGGCTCTTCTCAATTAGACACACAAAGAAATCTTTATCGCTATTGTTTAAATTACTGACGATATACTATATATCGGGTAACACCATATATACACAGATGCAGTTACACTGCAGGAAAGTGTGGTTTACATAGAGCTTTCTCTTTGAGTTTGAGGTTAGTGATTAAAGAAAGAGATAGGAAAGAGCAAGTTTAAAGCTCTCTTAAAGATCGAGCTTTTAGGCTTTTGAAAGAGAAAGGATACAGAAGGAAAGGTGAAATTAGAGATGGGAAATGCCATCAAAGCTCAAAGCTAAGCCAGGTGTCTCTATGTTTTTGGTTTATGGATTAGGTTCTATTGCCGATCGGTGGATGGAGGAAGGTTTAGGGGCGACTAAGGGTGATTAGTTGAGTTCCTTGCGCGTCGTGTTCGGCAGGAGCAGGCACATGAGACCGCCGCCGATGAGCAGGCCCGAAACGATAAACGTTGGGGATGGACAGTAGTTGTCCAGCAGCTGGGCGATCACGATGTTGCCGATGATGCCGCCCAGACGGGCCGCCACCATCGAAATGGCCACGCCGGTGGCGCGCAGCTTGGTGGGGAATACTTCGGTAATGAGGCAGTCGAGGGCTGCGTTGGCCGCCGAGATGGCGCCACTGAAGATCGCCGAGACGATCAGGTTCTGCAAGGAGCTGCGGACGAAGTACATCAATGCCGAACAGATGCCGGCCGTCATTGTGCCGGCGATCAGGAAGAACTTCCTGCCCAGCATGTCCATGCCCAGAATGGCCAGCAGGTTGGCCGGCAGGGCGGAGGCCAGCGATATCAGGGACTCCATGAAGACCGATTGTGGGATCTCCGAGGAGCAGGTGGCGTTCGTGGACTCCTCCATGCGGGTCACATTCACCACGTAATCGGTGACGGTGCAGACGCCGGCCGACTGGCCGGGGAAGGCCTTCTCGTACTCCTCGAACCGGTTGAACAGCTCCGGGAACCACATCAACAGGCCGTAGTAGCCAATGTGGAATGTAAAGTTGATCGTGATCGAGACGATGGTGAAGCGCAGGATGGGCGACTGGAAGAGGGCCTTGCTGTGCTCCACCATACCGCTAATCATGCGGGAATACTTGTTCTTCACACTGGCCGAGCTCTCCAGCAGCTTCTCGTCGACCTCCAGGTCATAGACCATGTACTCGTCCGGCCGGCGCTTGGTGTTCGTCACGAAAATGCCACGGAAGATGGCCAGGGCGCGATCCTTTTTGCCGCGGGTCAGCAGGAATTTGGGGGATTCCGGCAGGTAGAAGAGCAGGAAACCGACCAGGAACGAGGGCAGGGAGCAGACCAGCAGGAAGATACGCCACGAGTTGTACGTGAAATAGGCGGTGATGAAGCCGATGTTCGTCGGGATGATGAGCCAGGCCAGGCTGGCCACGAACAGGTTGCCGAACGTCCAGAAGGCGGCCATGAAGCTCAGCATGGAGCCGCGCTTGGCCTTGGGCTGGAACTCGGCAAAGTATGACCAGATCACAGGACCACTGCCGCCCAGACTGTAAAGAGAAGACGAAAACAAAAATTAATCATTCTCTCTCTCTTAAGCTTTCTCTCTTAAAGGATCGAATCTGTTTGTTTATCCCTTTCTCTCTTAATTTAAGAGTTCTCTTAGGTCACTGCCTAATATTACGTATACGCCATGTATGCCGACACTTATTTCTGTATTTTTAAACAAAATTAATTAATAACTTGAGTTTTTCGAGTCAAGAATTTCATAAAAGTTTCCATTAATTAGCAACTGATTGATAAAAAGAATGAATTAAAAGATAAAAGCTAACAAAGACACACTTTTTAGTACAATGACGTTTAATTAAGAAGGAATTCATTGAAATATTATCTACGAACTGTTCCAGAATCTAGATCTATACGTGATTGTTCCAATTATCGAAATTCAAAATCTAAAACAGCAGTCAGAAGTTCTTTAAAATAATTAACAAGCCAATGGTAAATACTATTATTGATGGAAACCCCATAAAAACATTAGGATTTGCTAATTAGAGACAAAATAAATCCTTAAAATATTTTTGTAAAATGGCGAAATAAATTAGCAAACAATTGGCAACCAATTCGAGGGGAAATCGGATGACTAATCGGCAATGTAACCGAAAAGTCAGGGGGCCAAGGCCTAAGCTCAGATTTTCCATTTGCGCGCCCGGTGTTTTGGAGTCGGTGTTTTTTCTCTTTTTTCGGAGGGGCTTCGGATTCGAGCCTTTAATTAGCATAAACAGTCACGATATTGTGGCTCAAATATGTGTTTTCTTGTTGTTATTTATAACAGAGGTAATTGAATTAACACCTTGCCCCGGGTCCGGGCCTGGGCCCGTGTGTCACTCGATCCACAAATCGGCCCATCGTCGAAGAGCGATGATCGATGGGTACAGGCCCAGACCATTCGAATATTTTTGGCACATCCACAGGGCTTTCCAACTTGAGAATGAACATATCAACATGATATTTATCATTAAATGGTAAGTGGGAAATTCTTTGAGAGGTTTACTCCATTAGTCAGAGGATATTTTGGACTAGAATGGATAATGAATCACATGGTGGCTTTATTTCTACTCAAAGCACATCCCTAACTCTTCCAACTGTGTTTAATTGATAGATTATCGAATAACAGACTCGCTGAATCGATTAAAAGTGGGTTAAGCCTTTATTATAAACCTATTCTGTATAGAACTTTAATGAAACTTAGGGAAAATCCTAACCCTAACCCTTAAAACTACGTCTTATCGAATTAATCGATATATTATCGATTAGTGTACTTACGCTGCACCATTGAGAAACCGGAACAGCATAAAGAAGGAGTAGCTCTGCGAGAAGGAGGAGGCGACGATGCAGAAGGCATTCATGAACGAGATGACGATGAGCACCTTCTTCCGGCCAAAGGAATCGGCTATGCTGCCCCAGAAGTACGCTCCCACCATCATGCCAATGAAGATGATCGAGTTCAGCCAGCCCTTGGTCTCCGTGTTCAAGTCCAGATCACATTCCGCCGACGGCAGGATGAAGGACATCGAAATGACGTCCATCTCCTCCGAGGTGCTGACCAGTCCGCAGATGGCCAGCAAAATATAATGGAACTTGCCATAGCCGCACAGCTCGATGGCCCGCTCAAAGTTGGCGACTATCGGTGCTGTGGGCTCCGGCAAGGGTGCCGACTTCTTGCGGCCCTTGCCGGGACCGCCTCCGCCACCACCTCCGCCGGAAACATGTCCGCCATCGGAGGCGTCACCGGCGGCACGCTCTACGTCCTGCTGCTTGCCATTGGTAACGTGGCTATCGGACTCGTAGCCGCGATTGTCCGCCGCAAATTGGTATTCCGGCTGTTTGGGGCCAACGCTCAGCGAGTACGGCTGGATGATCGCACGGTTGTCGATGTGAGGATTCGCGTTTCCCTGGCCTGGATGGTGGCTGGGCGAGTTGGTGGCTTGGTTGCTTGCTGCGCTCTGGTTGTAGTTGGGTTGTAGTCCAGCTTCTACATTATAGGCTAAAAAAGGGATAAACAAATATATCGATAATGTTAGAGAAGATCTATCGAAGTTGTACAAAAGTTATCGAAGCAGTTCAGGAAAGAAGACTGCTTGATGGATATTTTAAGAAACTGCTTGAGAGATTGAAGATGTTTGTGGCTAATTGCTCTACAATATTGAAGGGAAGCATATACAATTTATATTTCTATATATTTTATCATACAATTTCCTATTGATTCCTATTAATAGTTATAAAAGTTTTAATCGAAATAGCAGTAGAAACTGTTTCAAGATACTGATTTAAAAATTCGAGGCACTATATCAAAACTCTTCAGAAATTCTTTTGAAAATCTTATCCAACTAGAATTTTTGCTTTTATTTAAATATTCAAATACCGAGTGGAAATTTACGGAACTGTAATTTTTACCCCGAATCTTTCGGGTTCCTAATCTAAACAAACAAATTAGGAGAAAAACGATAAAGTCGCTTGATAAGAAAGCAGAAATGTTTCTTTTCTAAAAATATTTACTTATGCTTCTTCAACTATTTGCTTACTCTTTGATTTTTGAAATTATGAATTTGCTGTCTATCGATATTAATCGATTACTTACATTCGTTTTTGCCCTTTGCGGAATCACCTTCTACCATTCTATAGTTCAGGGGTTTTTTGGCTTCTTGTGCGCGTAGCAAAAAGGAAATGGAAATTTCTTGGCTTTTCGGTTGAGTTTTTTTTCTCTAAGCTTGGCTTAGAAGGGTACAGTTGTGTCGGCTACGGTTAGCGGTCTGCAAATAAAGAAGAAGAACCAGTTATCGATTAGTTGAAGCTATATAGATCGATCGTGTGAACAAAGTGGGCTTTTAAATTAACGCAATTGGGTGGCCATTGAGGCGCAATTGAACAAAATGAATGGAAATCGACATCGGCATTTAATTGGCGGCACAAAATACACAAAAAAAAAAATACAAACAGAACAGAACCATCGTAATTGATTAATAAAAAATTATGGCCGAAAATTAACCCAAAATGAAACCGAAGGCGTGAAAAACCACGGTTTGTTAGGAATAGAAGCACCATTCCCCAAACTAAAGGGGCTCTTAATTCCATTTATTTTTGGAGATCTAGTCTCGCGACTTGAATTAATTTTTCTAGAAGTGAGAATTGTATGTGGAGATTTCTTTTGCTCTCACCGACAGTCTCGATTCGTGATTTATGGCGGCAATCTTTCACTTTATTCATTAGCCAAAAGGCGAAGCCCCAACAACACCAATTACATTGTGCATTTATAGCATAAAAACTAAAAAACTAATATAAATGATTCGCATTGAACCTGAAAGCACGAGACAGACTCGGAATCAACGCACGCATGTGCAATGAAGGAGAACAGGAACCGGATAGCTATATATATATATAGCGAGAGGTTTGTATATATATGATATCTGTATTCTGATCAGAATTGTTCTAATTGCAATGGCTAGTGTGGGTGGCTGGGTTGTTCCACTTCCATTGCGTTTTTATAATTTCTTTTTATAATAAATCAGTACTTGATATGAATATATGCTGATTTATGCCCTGGACTTCCGCAATCCACTCACTCCTCTGGCCCTTCACCTGGCCTTCGTATCTCTACAGATTCTGATGAAATGTACAGTCGCGTTGCGATAGTTCTAGTGGCGATAGTTCCCAAGATGGCGGAAATACTTTGAAAAATACCTTGAAAGATATTGTTTATGCTGTTTAAACTCCCCAGACTTTCAGCTTTGGTCTAAGCTATATTTAGAGCTTATATTACCGCCATAAAACGTATCTTTAGACAAAAACGCACTTGTTTCCAGTTTTCTGTCTGGAACAAGTCGGCCGATCGGTCGGTTGGTCGATCGGCTAGTGCGGTAGATCGGCTATATACCCGATATAGAACGATTGTCTTTTTCAAGCGCAATTAAAGCAGTGCAACTGGAAAAACTGCGTGTGAACGATTTCGAACTCAATGTCATCCGATCTATATAGTATATAGTAAAGTAAGTAAGGTGCAATATAGCATTTATGGTGGAGGCAGGCACTTGTTTTTTTTCGCCTTTTGCATATCTCGTACTAATTAGCACATAAAACCGACCCCAGACTCTTTGGAAATGTATCGGAAATAGTCAGTGTGAGTAAAACCATAAAAAATATATAATGAGAAGTCTACAGAGGGGGGGAAGCCATCTAATCGATTACCAAACGAGTGCGAAAAAAATGACTCAGTCTTTTGGATGTAAACAAAATGGGGTTACAGGTAAATATTATCATTATGTGGGGGGTGTTTTCTCATAGATTATATTCCAAGAAAAATGAGAGATACTATGGAAGATTTTAGGGAAAACTTTCACAAGATTTAAAGGCTTTTAAAATATAGTTAAAGAATTGAATTGAAGGCCTTATAGGTCTTGAAATATTACCTTTTTGTGGATGCTTAGGAGATCTTGTATTATTTATTTTGTACTTTTATTTATTTTATTTCTGTTTAAAAAAACTCTAAAAATATGCCAAGTCTTTTGGTTTAATTTAATTATTATTTTGCACTTTAAATATTTGTTTTAAAATTTGTTTTTTTACTGCAGCTTTTGCCCTGTATTTTGCACTTTCTTTGGGTAGTTTTTTGTTTATTTTTTTAAAATTGTTTGTCAGCTGAGGTGGGACTGTTTGTGTTTCTGCTTGAAGTGCAGGATCTCAGGTTGTGGGGCTTGAGTTCTCGAAAATGGAATCTGACATTTGTGGCAAAATGGCGGAAACATTAAAACCGTTGCACAGCCAAGTGCATTTAAAGAATTTCCTCCAAAAAAAATTATTCAGAAACTTGGCGTTGACGTTTTTTTTTTTATTCGCGAATCGCTGGAGCGGTAAGACGTTTAAAACAACAACAATAACAGCAAAAAAAAAGCGGTAAAAGCGGTTCGAGCGGTACTGTGTAGCGGTAAACTGACGTTCGTACGCGGCCAAACGGTGAATGTATCTGAGAAAAGTATCTGAGCTCGCAGCCCGACGGCCGCTTAAATACGTCCGAGTGGCATCCGCGGAACGGCCGGAACTGGAACACCCAGAGGCTTATCAGCCTCCCCAATGGGGGGAGGCCCTCTCCCTCTGCCCCCTCTCTTTTTCGTTTCGTTTTCGTTCCAGTGTCTCAAGCCCGCGCGCTAATTGAAATTCAAAATGCAAAAACGATCCGATCCGAATCCGATCAGCAATTGCAAATCAATTAAATGATAACGCCCTGGAAATCAGAGGCATTTCAAGGGGGGGTAGTGGCAAGCAAAACTCTCAAAAATAAAGAGTTCTATGAGAGAGGTTCAAGGGGCTTGAACTAGAGGCCCTAAAGAATGAAGAGGTTTTCTTCAATATCGAACCTTCATAATGACTCATTTTTAGTCAAAAAAAAATATACGAATTACATCTGAATATGTACGTATTTTTGTTATTTTGAAATATTATTTTCACAGCTGATTTATTTAATCAATGATATATTCAATATATATATTTCAATAAACAGTCACATGTATTAATGGGAGCAATAATCTTTTCAGAAAGAAAAGTGAAAAATATATTTAATTAAAAGAAATATTATGAACATTAAGGAAGTGGTTTAATAAAAATAAAAGATTGAAGGATAAATAGCTTCCCTCTAAGAAATATTCAATTAAAAGCCCCGACTTAGTTACCAAATATAATTAGTGTCTAGTTAGAAAATAATAACTATGCGAATTAATTTATTTATGGAATTATTTTTATCTCAAAAAAGTACTTTCCCTTGAAGTTCCGGAATTTAAAGCACGTCTTACGGTTCTGTAATTCAACACAAAATATTACTTAATCGCGTGAGACTATAAGGATAATGAATATTCGAAGCGATAGGGAATCCCAATACTTATAAAATCGAATACGAATATACACCTTGATCCCTGGGCAGTTCAGGCCCTTCAGGTGAGTCAGTTGGAAATATAATAATAACGATTATTATCATAAAAAAAAGGTAATCATGACAAACGCCATAAGAATGGGGGATTGGAAATTGAAATTCGATGCATCGAAGGGATTCGAACAATTAACGGCAGCAGGCATCGGCTTAAGTGATCGGAAAGTATTATACTTGCGACTTAATAGCACCATTATCGTTATTGTTTCCAATACAAGCACTAAAATATATATGGAGTATGTGGATTATATTGTTGTCGGGGCAATTACTGATACACTTCGATTGCCCCGAGCAATGATCGTGTAAGCTGGCCATGTGACTTTTCAAAAACAAAAAATACAAAATAAAGGGAAAATATTTTAAAAAACAAAATATGTGTATTATAGATTGTATTTTTTGGTTACAAATTAAGTAATTATCCGATCTCGTTCGAAAAAAAAAAGAAATGTTCAAATGGCAGAAATACTAATTGTTTAATTGGTTATCCAGGGGTGGGTGTTTATTATTTTTCTCTCAGTGAGTCATCAGCCCCCCAGTAACTTGCAACTTGCAACCTGATCCGTTCTCAAGACGTGCTCGTTGGCCCTCTTTCTTCCAGAAAGCCAAAGATTAAAGGCCTTGCATAATAGCTGATTAGTCGGACGTAACTCGACGCTAATTTCTGGTTGCTTCATTTGGCAAATTATCGCACCTCTGACCCAAACAAAGCCCCCACAAAAAAATATACAAAAAAAAAATATATAAAAAATAAAGAGCAATTCTCAGTGCGATAGGAGAGAGTGGAGAGGCACGTGTTCTTTGTTCGTTTTTCTCTTAATATATTGGTCAACCCACCCACAATTAATTTAATTAGCTTTTCTATCCCCGCTCCCCCCCTCCAATTTTTATTTTTATTTTTTTTTTGATTATTTGTTAATTCAGATACTTGTCAGCCGCCCATCAGAAAACGAGAATGATTATTATGCTGGCTGATGGACAGCCTAATTCCTGAGACTCTAAACAACAAAGCAAATATTTGAATGGCCATACAAATGAAGAGCTCTCTCAACCATTTCTAATAAATAAAGTAAATACCGAGTAATTATTTGCAAAAATGTGGGTGATCTTTAAAGAGATCGGCTATATATTTTGGTCATTAAACTGAATGAATATGGATTGGAAAGCTGCTAAATGAACTGGTTGATGTCCAAGCTTGGTTCATTTTTAGAGGATATTCTACTAATATAGAGTTTAGCTAAAAAATCAAAATTGAAAAAAATCCAAATTATCGATGGTTCTTAGCTCTGCTACTGAATGAACTGGTTGATGTCCAAGCTAAGTTCATTTTTGGGGCGTATGTGGCAATATACTTAATCTATAAATTCCAACAATACCGAGAGGAAAAAAAAACCCAGTAAGCAGTAAACAAAGTCTACGAACTCTCTACGGATATATGTATGAAGACTCTTATATATTCCGATTCTATATGCACGGGAAGGGAATTTTAATCGAGCTGTGTGTGCTCGAAACCCGTTCGAATCGGTTCTTATTTTATGTTTCCCAATCGGTACGATGCCTTGGTCTGCAGTATTTTATTCTTTTCAATATTTCTTCAATTGTAGAAGTCAGCGTTAGCTGCACAAACATTTCAATTAATTGAGCCACTTTCAATTGAAAACAATGTCCGAAACGAAAACAAAAGTTCAAAACTGGAATAAAAAATACAAAAAAAGCCAAAAGAGCGGGCTGTCTGATAATTCAAAATAAATAAACATGACTAATGCCTTGGGGGCTCTGGAGAAAAGATCTATAGATCGCTCTCCAGATGGAGAGAGCTATAGTCGGGGGCTTCTCACAGTGGACCCTCTCGGGTAGTGAATCGCACGACCTAGCAACCGAAAAATATTCTCAGCTATTATCGATCTGGGTGATTCAGAAGACAGTGGAGACTCATCGGTGATGAAATCAATTACTCCTAATGAATGATATTATGATATAAGACTTTTTTATGATTAATATTTAATCTTATATTTTTTAGAAAGATTTTTTTGAATTATGTTTATAATTTTGGCTTAACTTTGGTAACTAAAACTACTCTCTAAAGTCTAGCTATAGACTCTTAAGTAGCTCTATGGTTTAGAGTCCATTCTATAAAGACTTCTAGATATAAAACTGAGAAAAAATACACCTATTTTGGTTGTGGTACAGCTATGATATATCCTTAAAAAAATCTAAAATCTGTTTAAAATACAAACCAAAATATTAGACTTCTAAATCCTATCCTTGGACTAAATATTTATCCAAAAATACCTAAGCTTTCAAGTGTCAATATTTTTTCAAAAAATTCCCAAACAATAAAACCCCCTTTGAAAAATCGGTAATTGGAGGATTATGAATATTAAAGCCTTAAACCAGCACAGGTGTGCTTTTTTCTCATCCGAGCCTTCCGAGTTTTGTTTTTATGCCCAAAAAACAACAGCAAAAAAATAAGAAAAAAAATATTTAATTATAATACTCCTTTGCGGGCTCGCCGAAATTTAGTTTGCATAATTAATTTATGCATTTTGTTCCTTCGTTATTTTCAGGTGTAACACAAAACAAAAATTCAACAAAAGGAATAACGAATGTGGAATAATGCCCGAAAAGAATTTCGGAATTTGCGAGTCTGATTTTTTAATTTTATTTACGAGCAACAGGAAGGAGACTTTTTAAATATTTATTTTCGTAATTATTTTTTTTGTCAACTCAAGTGAATCACCTTGCCCATTGTACTTTATCCTTGGGCGGTGGGTGGTGGGTGGTTCGGTGGGGGGAGGTATTATATACGCACCTACAACTGATGTCCTTGGTGGGTGAAAGGGTTTCCTCGGAAACGGTTTCGTAAAAAAAAACGAGTTCGGTTTTTAAAAAATCGGATTTGATTTTAAAAAAGTTTGTTTCCTTTTTTCGGAATAGATCACTGATTGGATGATGGAGGAGCTGCAGGCGGCTCCAAGACCGATTGGACAATGCGTTCCAATTGGCGTTGGGGCGGCGCTTTTATAAGAGCCGACCGCCTCCCCCGTGCCACGCCCCCTGCGTCGGCCCCACTCCTAGCCTCCTCCGAGGAGAATCCGTTAGTTTGTTTGCCGCCTCTTTGTTGCGAGATGCTCTGAGATTCGTCTGGCTCCTTATCGCTCTTCCTCTCTCGCTCTTAAGACACTCGAAAAAACAATGAGTGGGAAGTTGGGGGCTCTATTTTAAAAATCTTTCGTGGCACGTGTAACGGAACTGCAATTAAAAACCCTAATTTAAAACTAAAAGTTACTTCCGTAAGTGATCGGACAAAAATACATGAGAAGAGGCACGTTTTTTAAAAGATTATTTTTGGAAATTAGGTTTGTATATGAATGCTTAATTTTGATAATTATTTTAAGATTTGTTTTAGGGACTTGATTGCTATATTTTTAAGGAAGGTATTTTAACAAAAATGAAACTTGTTTCAAAACAGATTCTTGTACATCCGATTTTTAGATTTGGTTTTATATGTTTGAGTTCTTGATTCATTTTATAATAATTGTTTTTATGACTAGTTTTTTAGTTAATAATTTAGAATTATTTCTTTATGATTTACGCAATTTATAAAACTAATAGGTGATTCATTTTTAAACCCAATATGATTAAATACTTTTGAGTTCGAAACTCTATAGTTTCTTTAAAATTTTTCTTTAAAAAAATTCCTGTTTTCAAACGATTTAAGCTGTATATTTTTATCATATCTTAGTTGATCACTTTTTTTATAAACTTTAAAATAATATAATATAATTAAAAATGCAACAAGTTCCTTAAATTTAAAACTAAACCATTTAACTTATCCCCAAACCTAAGAAATACCTTGAAAAGTCCCCAAAAAGTCCCCAAAAAGTATGCCAATAAAAAGGGTATTTAAAACATTGTCATCCAATATTTTTCTCAGTGTACTTTGCCACTCTCGGTGGCACTCTTGAGCTTCTTCTTCTCGTGTTCTTGTGTACACTCTGCTGCTGGTTTTATTCTGTTTTCATTTCGAGTTTTTGTTTTTATTTTACGAGTATTACTTTTGACGTTATCGTCCACCGGGATCGCAAGTAAAATATACAACAAGAAATTATACAAAAAATTAAATAAAAAACAAGGAATTGGAATCTGTGATGCTTATCATTCCGGGCATTATCTATCCGGCTCAGTGGGCATTATCTATTCCGTTCCGATCCGTTTCAGATTTTCAGTTTCCCTCGCAATCGCAACAAAGTTGTTTACAAAAAAAAATTGGCCCCAAGACTTGCCAATCTTTATGGAATTATGGTCCTTTAGGGTTTTATAAATAAAAATTAGCACTAATAAAAAATCCATAATTAAAAAAAAGGGGGAACTCATTACTTTTCGGTAGCAGTTTTAAAAAAAAAGGGCATTTTGGGGGGAATTTTCGAACCAAAAACTCAACTAGTAATAGAAATAGCTCTGAGAATATATATATATCTATTCTTTAGTATATAGATACTGTTATATAGTATCTTAAATAATAATATCTGTGCGTGCTCTCGCCGGACATTTTTGTGAGTCTGCCTCGCATGTGTCCGGCGTATTTGTGGCGGCAAAAGATCTACGTAATTTTTGTCCGACTCATAAAAAAATAAGAATGAGAAAAAAAATGATAAATAATATATGTATGTGTTTGGAATAGGTTTTTTTCCACAGTCCCCCCGGAAAAATAACACATTTTTTGGTGGTCTCTGGGAGGGTTTTCAATACAAATACCAATGGGAATATCGAGTTGAGAGTATAAGTTATATAATAATTCTAGAATACTAAATAAATTATCTTGAGAGGCCATCTATGAAAGATCAATACCAAAACAATTATCTACAAATCCTATTAATTATTATCTATATAATTTTGATCTTGAAAGTCCGAACTGGAGGTATATATATTCCTCAAGCTATATTCTCCCTTGGAATCTACCCAGTTGCTTCTTGGAGATTGTACTTCAGATACTCCGGGAAAGATACTTCAGGAAAGTTTTATGCCAGATAAGAGCCGGAATATCTCCGTGTGGGACAAACCATAAATCCCCGCCAGTGGCAGGCAGCCACAAAAAAACATCAACAGACTTTAAGCCGCAATCACCATAAAAGTCTATACAAATTTTCACTGACGTCAGTCTCTCCACCAGAATGGAGTGTGTTTACTGATGAGATCTGGACGAGATCGTGGGGGGAGTAAGACCCTCTTTGACTTTGATTTTCTTCAGTTGGCAATTAAAGGACAAAACCAAAAAAAGTTGAGAAAAAGCAAGCAGGTTGGTGGCCAAAAGTCACGAGGTCTGACAGCCAGTCTCTTGCCGGATCCGGGGCACTGAGATGATGATGTTTTTCCCTCAGCGTTGGCAGCTGACAGGCTGGGCAAACAGCACTGAACTTGGCCACAATATCTGTACACAATTTCACACACAGGGCCAATATTTGCCCTGTGTCCACTTTTCCAAAAAAACCAAAAAAGCCTACAAGTATATATAATATATATATTTTTTTAAAACAATTTTACGAAAGAACAATGGCCGGAACACTTATTTTTAGCAGGTCTTAATGCCATTGGGCTGCAGTCAAGGTACATATTTTATATTTCAGATACTGCAGTTAAAAAAAAAGGGTTATGAAATATGGTTTAAATAAGGGGTTTTTAGAGCTTTATTTTTCTAAAAGAAAATCTAAAAATAATACTATAGAAGCCCCCCAAATACCTCTCGCAGATCATAACCTTGATCTGTTGATGGAAGCCACCCGCCATATAGATGCCTCTCCCTGGCTTATCACCTGCCGGTTTATGATCTGCAGCATTATTAGATGATCAAAACATCAACATTATAATTGGATTAGAGGGGGCTTTTTGATAATCCCCCCCTTCAACTGGAATCACAATGACGCAAAAGGCCAGAGGCCAGAAACCGAGACTCCGGTCACGTGAATTCTATTTTTTGTCTCTAAAATGCCCAGTCACTTTTTCGGCTGCGCACTGTCTATGATCGGGTCTGGTCTTCCCCCTGGAAGAATTCTCCAATTCAACCCCTTCTTAGTAACAATTATATAGTAAACAAAACAACACATAAACATACTATATATATATGTATATATATGTATTCAGTTGATTAATCATTGCATGCTCAATAACAATTAAGGCATAAAGAAGAGGAAGAGGATTCTTCTGAAGAAGAAAGAGAAGACTGCGAAAGAGAGCTGGGCTTGGGGAGAATCTCATGGATCTGATGACTAAACATTTCCGAGGGGGTTAAGCAAAAATCAATTCAATGCCCAATTTCGCGACGAGCGTAGAAGGGTCTCCGAAGAACCGAAGAGAATTCTTCTGGGACCAGTGCGAACCGGTTATAACCGATGCCAATCAACCCGCTGAACCTTTAAGTCGTTCTTTGGCTACGTCATCAGCATTAAAAACAAAAAAAAACGAAAATAATAAAAACAAAAACAAATTTTAATGAAAGGCACGAAGGAATCGATCCCCCAGCTATCAGGTTGCAGTGTTTATAGTTTAATAGCTAAAAATAAAAAATAAAAAAACCTTTTTATAGGTAAACCTTTATAGACAGCTACCTAGATATATCTAGTTGTATTCCGGAACTTGATCGGATGCTGTGATTGCCGCAATTGAAAATTATAGAAAGAATTGCAAGACGAACTGTCTGCCTGAGTGATTTTCAGAGAAAAAATATTATTTTTTTTAAAAACAAAAGGCTAGATCTGTAATATATATGTATATAGAGCATATATCTTTTTTGCGTTATTGGCTTTTGTTTTTCCAGCCAGAAACTGTCCCAACTGTCGCCTGAGTTCTTGATTTAAAATGTTTACTAACTTAGTTAGGAGGGGCTTTTAGCTAAATGTAATCGAGCTATTATATAGTACTATATAGTGTAGTACTGGTAGGGCTACTGAAAGTAAATAAGCCGACACGAGCCGACAACTAAAGGGCCATAAAAATGTAAACCAGCCAAGGGCTATCAACTCCGATTATTGCTATATAAGATATACCCGATATGGCAGTCAAATCTAGAAGCTATTTGCATTTTGGTGACAGGTACAGAGAACACTCTACAAATTCTATTATTTGTTTGTTAAATTCTGGCAAATATATATATAGATGTAGTCCAGATATAGTCAGTCTCAGATGGAGAAAGTGTTATGGTTTTTATGAGAATTCCCAGTTTCGATTTGTTATTGGTTTGTTAAGTGCACTGTGCAAAATAATGGGCCATAAAAACATCCGGATATTGACTGCCGAATAACAAACAATTACCAGCTTTTGAGGGATTTATTTGGTGTTTAACATCAGACTTGAAATGAGTTATTAAAGCCCATAAACTATTTTTTCAGGTGCACTTCTATGATACAATTTGCATGAAAGAACCTCTCTTTTTCCGCACAGCTTGAATCCCACAATTATGCAGCTAATTGTACAATTAAGTCCACAATTTCCAAAACCCTCGAAAAAAGACAATAAAATCGAGAAGAAAAGCAATTCCCTGCACTGTTCTGTTGTATCCCAGCGATACATAATTGTATCTGTATCTGTATATCTGTATCTGTGTATCTTTTTTTGCTGAACCAAACCAATTCGAATCGGTTATAGCCGCCCCCCAAAAAACAAAAAAAATAAAGAAAAGAAAAGAGAATTCAATATCGAAATAGCGAGGGCATCTCGGAAAATAAACAAACAAATAAAGAAAACACTTATTGAGGGAAAATTTTGATCAAACCGATCTTGTTTCTTGCAATTAAATAGGGCTATGTTTTTGAAATACTTCCGGTTGCAAGACTCTTTCAAGAGCAAACAGAAAAAATTCAAAAAACAAGTGGCGACAATTTCTGTCTGACCTTTCGTTTATGATGAACGTAGTGCACATATATAGTAGGATATATCTATGTGTATATCCTCATTTCTGGCACGTTTCTCTTGTCTTATCTGCCCGCAAAT